TTTAGAAAAGTGCGCTCAGTCCATTGTTACTTCGAAGAGGCCAAATTTACCTTCTTTGAAGAGACTACAGATGGACGCATTTATTTTAAGGTTTGAACGACCTGCTGCAACTCAGAAATGGTCGTATGACTTTTGGGCTATCTGAAGTTGATAAGAGTTTTGATGCAGCTAAGGACTTATTGATAAGAGTTCAAGTGATGAGTACTTTTGGTAATGAGTTTTCCATTTTCATAGGTGAGTCAGTTAAATAAATGGCTGAATTAGCTAATAAGTTTAAGACATGCACGTAGACAACATGTGGCAAAAACCCGATTACTAACCAGTTTCAAGGTGGTAGTCAGAAAGGTAAAGTACATGGTCGATTTGGTCAGTCTAAGCCAAAGTCAGGCTGTTATATTTGTGGTGATTTCAAATGACTCTGCTGTCAGTTCTTCTAAGCGTTATAAAAGTCCCAAACCTCAAGTTAAGTCAGCTGCTATCTTGGCATGTGATCATAATGATTCACAGGAAATCAGTCCCACCTGTAGTTTAGAAATTGCAGATGCAAGTAGGCATCCATGTTTACAAGGACGAGATAGAGTAGAGTTGAAATGTGGATATGAGCTGCCAATTATTAGTTTTGCCAGTGTTGCACCAGCTAATAGAATGGTGAGTGGTAAGTCTGTTGTTCAAGGCTTTATTGGCAGTACTGAGGTAGAGTTGTAATACGTAGAGAGTTGGTAGAGAATAGTCAATTGACTAGGAAGAGTCGTACCTGTGTAATGATGTATGGTACATGTCGAAAGCCCCAATAGCTAGACTATATATGGATACACCCTTTTATGTTGGTGAGGTTGAGGCACTGTGTATAAGGACACCAGTGTATGATCTTATTATTGATAATATTGGTTGAGCTAGGGAGTCCAATGATCCTGATATTGGTTAGAAGCTAGGTTACCTCATGAGGTAGGGCATGGTGAGGTTATTGCGCCCTCGAGTGGTCAACATAGTACTCCTTTGAGTGATGGGACTAGTATGCCCTAGTATGGAGAAGGTTGTTGTCCTTTGGGTATTGAGACTAGTGTTCTAGGTAATGAAGGTTGTACATCTACTAGTAGTCAGGCTAGTGTGCCCTATGGATGATGGTTGTTCTACAGGTGTTGAGATAAGAGATCTTTTCAGTTAGTGGGAGTGGTTGTGAACCCTCCATTGATTGTAGTCAAGATGATAGCGTTGATGTTGTACAGGTGGTAAGACAATGACTCAGAAGTTAGCTGAGAAAAAGCCATTATGTAGGCTTCCTCATTAGAGCGTGCTAGGAAGTTAGTGAGTACAGGTGTGGAGTTGATCACAGATCGTAGTAATCGGGCACGATTTGTGATGAACAAGTGGCTGATGTATAGAGAGTTTCAGTCACCTCATGTTGATAGACGACGTGTGTGTTCCCAATTAGTGTTACTGTGATCAAGTACTAGCACTTGCTCACGAGTCAGTTATGGCAGGTAATCTGGGTGCTAAGAAGACTACAGATAAAACAGCAACTCAGTTTTATTGGCCTGGTATGTAGGAGGATGTTATTAGATTATGCAGGTCATGTGATATATGTCAGAAGACCACTCCGAGGGGTCGTGTTAGCAAGGTACCTTGATTGAAGTTACATTTCAAATGATAGCTATGGATCTGATTGGTCCGATCAATCCAGCGACTGAGAGAGGTCATAGGTACTTTTTAACTGTTGTAGAGTATGCTACACGATACCTCGTACCTGTAGCGTTAAAGAAGATTAGTTCAGAAGTGGCTGCTGATGAATTAGTTAGTATATATAGTAGGGTTGGTGTACCCATACAACTTTTAACTGATTTAGGGACACAGTTTTTGTCTGACATTATGAAGGAAGTGAAAAGAGTGTTGTCTTTTAAACATTTAGTAACTAATCCATATCACCCGGCATGTAATGGTTTGGCTGAGCAGTTTAATGCTACTTTGAAAGGTATGTTGAAACGCATGTGTCAAGAACGGCCCAAGGATTGGCAAAATTACCCGCTAGACCTTCAAAGTATTTTTTTGGTTGCACTAATTTAGAGGTTATTGGTCACTAGGTAGGTGACGGTATTTTGCAAGTATTGCCAAATAAAATAGAAGCCATACAACATGCAGCCAGACCTGAAACAGTGAAGCAAGTAAGGTCATTTTTAGGTATGGCTGGATACTATCGTAAATTTATACCAAATTTGCTACAATAGCAGCTCCTCTCTGTGATTTGACCAGAAAAGGGAGTCTGGGGAGATCCCCCAAAACGCGCCTTTAATCACTTGATAGTTTTATTGAGTAAGCAACCGATTTTAAGGTTGCCCGATTTTACTAACGGTTTTATTTTGAGATGTGATGCATCAGGAGTTGGGCTTGGTGCAGTCTTATTGCAGCAATATGAGGAAAGAAAAGTTCCAGTAGCATATTCCAGTCATAAATTGCTAGCCAGAGTGAAGTCTTATTGAAAAGTGTTTGGCAGTGATTTGGGCATTGCATAAATTTCACCAATATTTATATGGTAAAGAATTTATTTTGGAGACTGATCACCAGCCATTAATTAACAATGCAGCAGTAAACAGTAGGTTAATGCGGTGGGTTCTACATTTGCAATCATTTAGCTACCGTATTATAGCAATTAAAGGTAAATAAATATATGTGCCGACTATTTAATCAGGATTGAGAATGCTTAGAATTGCTGTTACAATACTTCTTCAAATTTTGAGAAATTTATTGGCAGTTGATGCTGATTATTGGACTGAAAATGTGCCATGTTCATGTCTTGATGACGGGGCAATGTCAGTATCCTTTTTTTCTATAGCATATTACCTCAAACCCTGCAAATAGAAGTGTGCATGGATTCATGGAAGAAAAGGTATACATTGCCGTGTGATAAAGGTGATTGACAGGTCATACTTGTTTTCAACTCTGGAAGGATATTTGGAATCTACCAGGCGTGCGTGTGATTTACATACCAAAAGGTGTTTACAACTTTGCAAAGACAATTGGAATCTATCTATCTAACAAAAGAAATTTATCTACTGAGTTCCTACGTGACAAAACTGCTAGCAAGATCACATTCTGATTGGCTAATGTGAAAACCAAGGTGCTGTCCCTGAATCTGGGCCATTTATGCCTATAAATTGGACAATTGGGTCCATCATTTAAAATTCGTATACTGTGTGTTTCTGCTACGACATTGTGAGACAAGTGATACAGACTACAACCATCATTCTGTGAAACTTGTACGAACTGCTCTGCGATCTCCTGCTTTCAGCGGTTCCCACCAGAATAACTGCGTTCCTCTGCAACCAAGACTCCTGTATTTCGTCCTTGTTGTGTTGCGGAAGCCATTGACTGTCATCCATTGCTACAACCTGGAAATGTGAGTTATCGCCAATGCACACTTCCCTATGCAATCCCCCCATTTTAGTGAATTTATTCATTGTATTTTTCTGTGCTTAGTTTATTGTAATTATTTTGGAGAGTTATTAAAGCAAGGAGCTTTAACTCGATATTTTAGTGTATGTGTATTTCATTTCCAGTACTATTGTCTTGTCTACCCCATTCTGGCAGTGACATAACCCCCTGTCTAGTGTGAGTTCTGTGGGTGGCCCCCTAAATACAATAAGCAGGCCTTACACTGTGACACCAAGTTGCGTTGGGATTACGTTGACATGGTGTAACAATGTTATCGCCAGTGATCTCTGACCAGTGCGCAACGTAGCCAAAATAAAAAGCATGATTATTTGAACACTGCTTTTACAAGACTGGTGGGAGGTAATAAATTTGGGGTGAAAGTATTCAAAAATCAGTTTTTGGCTGTTGCCATGGCAGCGGTGAGCCAGGATTTTTTCCAATTAGTGACGTCGACGGTACGACCAACCTGTCAAGTATGAACAAAATCAGCCAAGCCAAAAAAAGGAGTTAAAGGGGAACCGCTCAATCCCATGGATTGCACCACGTGATCATGGGTAATTAACTCCGCCTCTGTCGACTAAGTAAATAAATGCTTATTATGCTAGCTTACTCGAACTGTGATTGACAGGCATTTTGCATACATTAGCCGCCATTTTAAACTCATGATTTTTACATGTCGCGGCACATTTCGACCAAAAACAACATTTATACATGAAAAGCTCAACCAGATAAGTGTAATCGCTAGAGTACACATTCATGCCTCCGTAAAATGTATTTGGATTCACAGCTTGATCTCTAAACATCGTAAATGGCACAATTCCAGGAACTCCCGCTACGATGTGAGCGGATTGGTTCGGATTAGCATACTAATTGCAGTGGCCATCTTGCACCTACTTATATTATCGGTTCTCCTTTAAAAGCCGTTGCTGGTGAGAAGTTACCCAAACTGTGAGGTCAATTTTCTCGGTAATGAAAATAGACATAACAAACAAACAAACAGTATTTATTTGCCCACACTCAAGCTGAGCTTTATAATCCTAGAATTGTAGAGTAAGATACATTTGGCGCGAATGTATTCAACAATCATGTTTTTGGCTGTTGCCATGGAAACGTTGGCCCAGAATTTGTTTTCAGATTTTACAACCTAACTAGAGTGAAGGTGTGACTCGCCTGCCAAGTTTGAACGAAATCGGCACAGCTAAAAACCACAGAAGAGTTAGGAAGCCATTCCTATCAACAATTCAAATAGTAACTTTGTGCCCACACTCAAGCTGAGTAGACTTAGCTACGTCTGAGGTGTTTTATTCTAAATTTGTAGGAAGAGATACATTTGGCGCGAAGCTATTGGATGTTGCTATGACAACGGTGGATATTTTCCCTTCATATTCGACCTACTAACTAGGGTAAAGGTGTGACCTGCCTGCCAAGTTTGAGCGAAATCGGCGAAGCTAAAAAAATCATTATTAATAATCAGGATTAATACGTGAAAACATTGCAAATCACACACACACTCCCACACACAAAAGTGATTTTAAGGGCAATCCTAGCGGAGCGAATCGCCAATGGAGCAGCCGTAACATTGTGTCCGTTGTGTTCCGCTAAAAGGAGATGGGAATGGACTATAAAATTGACAGGGGTCTTTCTCCTTCCCAGATTGCCTATCGGCTAGAACACCACATAATGATATTTCGACGAATGTATGCGATGTTTATATATTCTGGCTGTTTTAGAACTGAGAAGCTAATTTGTTTTACTTTTCGTAGCACAAACGGTGTGGCAGTAGGATGAGTTACCCGTCGATACCACGAAATGCTTTAGTTTGTTTATATATCTTCTTCTGGTAATCGACACAACGGTCAGCTTGAAGAATGGAGTAACATCTTAGTATTCTGTATTCACTGTGGCTGACCTGTACAAGCAATGCTTGATTCAAATGGTGATAAAATATACCCTCAAAACAATAATACAGTTGTAACCGCTGATACAGTTGTAAAGGAGTTATTTTGAAATTCAAAAACACAAAACAATACATTGCCTAATTAGTGGAAAAAAAGTTACTACTTCCCGCTCAACACAAGACTGACCGACACACGGACAAACAGACATACACGAGTACATGTTGCTTGCACCAGACAGACAACTGAAAAACAAAATGCAATGCATGATTACATTAACGGGATAAATGCATATAGACCCCGAAGCAAACAGTATATTAATAGTGTAATATGTTTCGAAAAGTGTACATTCATATACGAAACACACGTTAACAACTAGATCAAAATGCGGGGTGATAAACACGCTAGAGGTCGTCTTGCAATTGCTTTCCACAGTCCACTGAATAAATACATGTATATGCATTACTAGTGGTACAGTTGTACCGATCACGTGATGGTAAGGCAATAACTCCTGCTGTCGGGAGCTTCCGGCAATTAAATAATTTTCATAGATATTCTAATTGAATTTGTCCTCTCTCCTATATAACCTGCCGAGAGATCGTTCCCACAACTGTAACAAAGCGCAGAGCAAAGCTAAATTTAGATTTGATAATCGATAGCCCCAAGACGTCAATACCCTTTAATAAGTAACCTCGTATTCAACTAGCAGCTTTGCAGATATAAATACGATATGCCAAATATCATAAAATGTATCACGTAATCCATACGGGAGATGCAGATGACAATGAAAAGAACACATGGATTATGACCCAGACATTCATTGTAGGATGATATTCCTGACAAACTACTAGTATATGAATCAAAACAGTGAAACTACCGTAAATGCTTTGACTATCAAATACAATCATTCTCGCTTCTAAAAAAACGCATCTACTGTTGCGTAATCGCATGGGTAACATGTTGGTGCAAACCATTGACAATTGACAAAATGTCTATAACATAACACTCTATGACGTAAACCGTAATCCTATCTGAGGGGAAGTCTGAGGGATTTAAAGAAATAAACACAGACACAAAATTGAATAGGAAATTAAAACAAGGCTTTATTAAAAATCAGACTCTTACCTAAACGAAAAACTAAATGGCTACTCAAAACGACTTTAAATGAAATATAATTTGCATAACAGATCAAATTGTCTCCCATCAGTTTACAATTGTCAACATC